TTGTATTCATCTCTAATAAATATTGCAATTTGACACTTTTACCTCTTTGAAATTTTAACTAGTCTTTGTTAATTAATGATATGTTTAGATGGAAATTAACTTAAAGTAAAATAATCTCCCATATTAAGTCTATAGTCTAAAAAAATTTATTTTTCCAATATTGTATTTATTTTGTGAGTAATCGAATGGTTTATGATAAACCAATTGTTTTGTATATATACCGTAGTTCGCACAAATATTAAGGCTGAAGAATTTTGTCTACTGCTCGATATACTTTAGTCTACTAGTTCTTTTTTAGATTTTAGCCAAATTATTCAACTTCTTGAAATAAAATTATGAGAGTTATTATTTTTGAGAATAATTTTTTACAGTCATTAATCAATAATAAAATGAAACTACGTAGTTTTGTCACATACTCCACAAGAATTTATTGGATAATAACTATTACTCCAATACTCCATTAAAAATATAATAATTTTTATCTGAAATTTCAAACATTCAAATTTTACCAAAATAATATTAAAAATTATACTATTATCTCATCCACATCATATGACAAAGATCTCTAACCTTTGAAGTGATAAAAGAAATAAAAAATAAAATGAATTCTTAGCAAACTTATTGGTATAATGTACCACTATCAAACAAACTAAGAATTCAAACAACATAATGTATACAAACCAAAAATCAACATTGGAATAAAAAAAAAAAAGAATTTCAAGATTTAGAATAGGTCATACGCATCTAACTCATACATACCTAATTAATAAGGAGCTCAGACCATCCTGTAATACATTCCAGAACCGGCAGCAGGGTCTAATTAAAGGGTATATATGTAAAGTAGGCTAACTTTTGAAGCTTCTTCTGTTAAATACAAAATATATATATTTAATCAAAGAATGTGTGAAACATTAATGACCCAAGAATAACGCATCGAGGAAATTTTCAGATTAAGACTATGATCTTAATACAAGAGATTTTTTTACTTTAAATAAATTGCCATCTAAACATGTCTTTAATTAACAAAAACTAGTTAGAATTTTAAAGAGGTAAAATTGTCAATTTGCAATATTTTTAGAGATGAATACAATCAAACAAATATCAAATATTTAATATAAATAACTTAAATATCGGTATCGATAACCAATCAGAACAATACAATCTCATTTAGCCCTATATTACATCACTTGTATCTTCAATAGAATTATCATATTTTTCCATAAAGTGAATTCAGTTACACTGAGAGTGAGTAGTTTTCAAATACATTATATCAAAGCATAAACTTTCACAAAAATTCATAAAATTACATATAAACATACAGAATGATTGGTCTAACATAAACTAATTGATTACTCTTGAAATAAACTATATAATCATCCCTTATATCTTAAAGCAGTATCAATTTTTTTTTTTTTTATATAGCTACATGTATATTTAAATAGATTATATTGTGCACGATAGACCTATAGATCTGGAGTGCATGGGCTATTCTTACTTATTTCTTATAACAATTAAAACTAACTAATTAATTTGCTTATAAAATGGAACATAATGTAACTAAGGAAATCAGACTGGACGATTACAAGTCTTGGACTAGTACTTTGGAAGTTATTTTCATTTACATATCTCGATGAAAAATGAATAGTACAGTCAGTAAATGACTAGTGATAAACATGGCATCACCTATATTAGTTATTACTTTTTAATAGTTAATAAAACTTGTGAAATACCAATTCAAAAGTTATTATTAACTAGTTATTTTCTTAGTTGGATTATTTCTATTTTATAAGCTAATTAAATATGTTTACTGCTATTTATATGGCACTGAAACATGGACAATTGACAGGAAAGACAGAAGAAAACGAGAAGCATTAGCGTTATGGATATGGACAAAAATGACAAAAAAAAAAAAAATGAGAAAGTGCTAGAACAAGTACAAAATGAAAAGCAGCTAATGGTGATTCAATAAAAAAAAAAATAAAGTTAATCTATCACATTATCCGATAACATGACTTTATAATCAAAATCTTTGAAAAAAAAAATAACTGGGAAGAAACCAAGAGGACGGTTGGGTTTGGATGGCTGGTAGAGGATAAAATATTTTGAAAATATCCTGGAACTTATGAACTTTGCGTCAAACAGAGAGGAGTGGCTTCAACTACAAAGCATTGCCACTAATAGATGATGTTGATGACTCCTATTTAAAGTACATAGTGTCGATATCCCTTTAAGTTATAAGGTGACTCTAAAAATTAATTATTAGCTAATAAATAAAGAAATATATATTTAACTAAAAGTAATAAAAAATTATTTTTCCAATATTGTATACAATTGAGTGGTTTACAATAAATTTATTACTCTGTAAAATGTATACCACTTTGAGAATACTAGATTATAAAATTTACTAATTTTGATGAAAACACTAGCCATATTGTGTCTGGTTTAGAAAACTAGTTTTTAGTTACTATTTAATATTTTCTAAAATAAACTACCAATCAATATTGAAGTTAAAAAATGAATGCTGATTTTGTCTCCTGGACTTATATAGGACCTTGAACATAGTCAGCAAAAGATATCCTAGTAAATACTCGGCGGCGGTATACACGATAACTACATTACAACTAATAAGCAGACAAGATGATGAAATGAATATCAGTAAATTTATGGTGATTCACCAATAGTGAACAGTTAAAGATTTCTGCAGGTGTTAACAATTTAAAATAATAAAAGCAGCAGCAACAGTAGTAGTGTTAGTAGGTAGGTAGTTAGACCTTGGCCTCTTATATTATCACATACATATACAATAACACATTCACACCCATATGAGTGTTTGCACACACACACACACACACACACACAAACTTCAGCCTACCAAATGCTTATCAAACAGTACACGTCAAAAACAATGTTTTGTCCAAACCGTAATGTATATATATATATATATATATAAAAAATGTGTACACCATCGACGAGTATTGTGAGCGTCGCGTACCGGACCAAAGTAATTTTTTACGCAACACACCCCAATACTTCTCTGAAGGCTTACAACCATATTACACAAGACAACTCTACAGATCTTGAGATCAACTACGGTCAGAATTAATCCAGTTAAAAAATTGAATCATGCAAGATCTTCCGTAGTGGTGTTAAGAGCGTTATCGTCGATGACGGAGAGACAGATAATCTAAGATAATTATAGTGTTGTTAGTACGTTTGTAAGTATGTCTATATATATATATATATGTATATGTGTATACACGCTTATTAATATTTCTATTGAAAAAATAACCACTACTGATCGCTTACCTGAAAAAACTGGGTGCATGTCATACACATACACGCAGACTGTCAACCTGTGCAAATGGGGGTCGTCGTCTCAGTATGCAATACGTCGGATTTCCACCGTCGTCCGCGAACAATATACTCTAAAGTTATGGCCGATCGCCATGGCCGTTACGGAGAAAATTCACACAAAACGCACAAACGCGAGGGCACGCGCGCCCGATTTTCAAAAACCGTCTTTAAGTTATTATTGTTATTATCACTTATAGTAGATTCGTATAATATATATATATATATATGTATATATTATATGTATATAATCGACATATATCGTACACGATTTTTTTTGTATGCAACACCAGTTCCACGAAACTAGATTTAATACTAGTCGTCGTTTTTTTTTTTATCACAACCGAACGACAACGACGACAACTAAAAAAAAATAATAACCTCGCTACGCATACGACGTTGTGATATTTTCGCTACAAAAACACTCCGTTCGGATATTGCGCGACTCCAAAACTCGTACACGTTACGAATTCAACCGTAATCGAATCGCGGTTATTATTGCTCTCGTTGTTTTTGGTACGCGACAATATCGTGTAGTAATAAAGGTACAATAAAATATGTATTTATATATATTATTATTGTTAAAAACAAAAATCGGACCGGCGAATCGTGGTCGTAGCCGAACAGTGTAAATATCGTCTAAACGCGAACAAGGTAAACGTTCACCGCCGCCGCCGTCGCTGTCCGAACCGTCGGTAGCGGTAGTGGTGGTAATGGTAGTAGTATTGTCAGTGGTGTTGGTGGTGGTCGAGACGGTGCCAGTGGTAGTGGTAGTAGTGTTGCTGTTGCCGCCGCGGTGTTGCAATCACTGTGTGTGCGCGCATTCCAATATGGCCGGTTAACACAAAGCGCGTACAGTGCACACAACACAACACGCGCTTCGTACCGTTGACCCTGACCGTAAAGATTATATACGAAATGTAGCGCGCGCCGTAACATGCTGTATACGAGGAGATGCACGCATGCGCGGCCGTCCCGACCGATAGCCGTTCCAAGGACGTGGAGGGGATAAGCCGACGTTATACACATACGCACCGTGTATTTCGTATAACGTCCCATGCTTATATATACGTTCTATTACGTATTATTATTATTATTCTGTACCATAAACGCGCCACCGCACCACGCTCGGCGTTATGATTGCGTGCGTGCGAGTGTCTGTGTGTTATGAAACGGACGGTAACCGGCGGCCGTTGTGAACGCGGTATATTTTCGGTGAACACCTGCTACGACGGCAAGTGTGCCATCGCTCCTACCCATCAGCGACGAGCAGCTGACGAACGAGGGGCCCTCCACTGCATCAAACCGCTACCAACCCGCCCAGGTGTCTGGTCGACGTAATGTCGCCAAGACATTACGTCGTCAAAAGGACACAGAGTGATAAGAGCGAGCGACGACGAACCGACAAACCACCTATTGTTCCACTCGAAAATTTTTTCCAAAAGAACTGATTAAAACGTGTTTCTTCATTTTATTTTAATAGCAAAAACTATTATTACTAAAAAAAAAATAATTTTTCCTGATTTTTTATCCAACACTTTTTTTACATTTACACTATTCCTCTCCCCCCGAATAGTATTTAACATGAGTCAACGGGTATCATTCCAAACGAATCAGCGTTATGTTGCGGTGCGAAACGTTGAGCCCCATTCGAATACCGCCGTCGGCCGTCTAATCATGTGTGTGTGTGTGTCCGTTCGTATGTAGATACTAACCGTGAACGAACAAGACGGCTGAGTCGGTGGTGATAGCGCTCGACGGTCCGCGCACAAACGTCGTCCGACAGAAAAAGTGGCCATCGCCAAAATTAATATCCAATCGTCTACTGGTCGGTGCATCTCGACTGTCCGTCGTCTTGCGGTTGCCGACCCGATCACCGTCGTGTCGCCAACAGTAACGCGATCGACGAGTTAAACATTTTTCAACGGCTTTGCGTCGGGCGGCCGCGGAGTATTGATAACAAGTCGTCCGTCCACTACAACAACATGATGCCTTTCGGTTGAACAAAGCGCGATTTTACTCTTCACAGAAAATCAACAGACGGGAAGCGGTAATCGTGTGTGTGTATGTTTAGATTTAATATTCTCTCCGGGTTTTCGTTTGATCGCAATTTCTTTATCGTGAAAACATTATCGCGAAAAGCACTTGACCCTCGTTGAATTTCTATTTCGGTTTCTACGCAGTCGTTGTTTACCTACCACCTCGGACGACGGCCGTCGAGTGTGTAAATCATTTATGTTTTATGATAGACTTTTTTTGTCAATTATTTGAAAGAGTTTTTTGAGTTATCTCATGGATTCAATGAGGATCTGACCTATCCGAAAAGTAACACCCAGACCGTTTTCAGTTGTTCAAATTTCTACTGGCCGTTAAATGGAGTGCACGATTCGAAGTTTTCAAAAATCAAACTGAATTCCAGTAAAATCAATGTGGGTACGATTGTTCCAACAGTCGTTTTCTTTACACGTGGTAGACCGAGTAAAAATATTTTCATATATATGTCCGCGGTAAAATGACAACAAAAGACGAAAACGTGATAATGAACTGCTGCAACGACGATCGAGCAGGACACGGCGATAGCAACACTGTAAAAGTAATTTTTTTTTTTTTTAATTTTTACAATGCTCCTTTTTAAGGAGTAATATATTTTTGTCAATTTTTTTTCAAAATATTTACTGTTAATATATATATATTTTAATATCTATCATATATATTTATATTATTTTTTATTCCGACTTTTACAGAAAACTCCAAAAGTAGATTTAAACAAATCGGATTTGCTAAAGTTATTGAGCTATTTAGAAGGAGAACTGCAGGCCAGAGATGTCGTCATCGCCACCTTAAAGGTAGTGTGACACTTTGCAATTTGTTCTGTACCCCAATGTGTTAACAAAAAATATTGTTAGGTGCTAATTTTTTAATCGACGGGTTGTTTTTTTCAGTGTGAAAAAATCAAATCTATGCTTAAGAACCGCGGGACTGATTGTCTTCACAAAGACCCGTTGGCCGCACTTCAACGGGATTGCTTTGCTACATTTGACACAAACAATGACGACGACAGTCTTTCGTATCGGCAGTTGGGATCGCTGGAAAATCTGGTACTTCAACAGAGAAAAACGCATTTGAGAATAGCAAACGTTCTCAAAGACAATCAGGTCATGCACCGAAAGGTAATCCGCCGCCGCTCTATCGGCTGCACACTGTTTTCAAAGTCTGTTCGATGAAGTTGAATTGCCGTTTGGAAATTTTTGTCACGTATTACATGTTTTAATTGTTTAGAGTGTTTAACGGAGAATCTAGTAAAGAATTTTTCTTGTCATTTTCTCATTAGTGACCGGTGCGAGCCGGTCATAATGACTGCCCCTGTCCATCGTTGACCCAACCGAAAAACCGTGTTTGATTCCATGAAATTTGTAAAACGGGGCCACCGCCTCGTGTAACATGTAAAAATTTGGCAAATCGAAAGACGTAAAACTGATTATTTTATTTATTTTTTTTAATAAAATGTTTATGCTTTTGTTTCGTTCAGATTCTCGAACTGGAACGATTGAAAAAACAGCAATTGGAGTACGAATTCAAAAAACTACAGCGCGCGTTGCAAGAGGAACGCGTCAAACACAAGCAGATGGTGTTTTTTCTGTTGGCCGAAAGAAAAAAAATCGTTATGAAATATATCGAAGAGAGAAAACGATCAGAAGATTTAGGACAAGTAAGTTAAGCGCGCACTATTGAACTACTGTAAAACACTGCGAGTGCTTAGAAAAAAATATTGACCGCAATACGTGGCCAATATTTTGGCCACCCTAATATTTTAGCCCCTATCTGTGTGAATAGGGGCTAAGAATACACTTGCACTACCCTATCTGCCGGTCGTAAGAGGCGGCGGCGACTAATGAGGTTGTGCGTCAGGTCGACGACAGCTGGCATAAAAATAATTGTCCGAAAAAGTATGAGGAATCCTGAACAAAACTCGGGCGGATCGTCCCGCGTCGGACGTACGCGGCGGGGACAACAGAAAGTAGTTGAAAACAGCACAAGGCTTAAGGGATAAAGTGTTTGATACCAGCTCGTGCGCTGTAGCTGTTTCATCGGTTGTGTGTACAGTTCTACCCAACGCTTGTAGTTCCAAATAGTGTAGGGACATGACCACGTATCAACTCTTGGCTGGACTCGCGTATGAGGGAGGAAAAACTAGATAGATACAAAGTAAGAATAGGTACTTGGAATGTTGGAACATTAATTACTGGTAGGAGTAGAAAATTAGTACAAGTATTGAAGAGGAGAAAAGTTAACATTTAGTAGTAAACATCGAGTATATTGTAGGATCAGATGTGCAAAAGAGCTGTGGTAGTATTGTCAAAGATATAAGACATAGGATTAAGTGCAGGGGTGGTTAAAGCGGAGAGAAGCGTCTGGTGTGTTATGCGATTAAAGAATTCCGATGAAAGGTCATGTTATGTGGAGAGAAGAATCGCAGAAGTTGTAAGAACTGTTATATAAATGAATGTAGAAGAAACTAGAGGTAAAGGAAGACCAAAAAAGAGATGAAAGTATTTTTGAATGTGATATGAGGACAGCTGATGTGAGCGTAGATGATGTGAGAGATTGTGGAAAGTGAAAGTTTAGAATAAGGATGGCCGACCCGAGTAGTCGGGATCAAGGCGAGGAAGTAGATGAAGAAGAAGACTGCTTGTGGTAGCCAGTATGAGATGTCTTTGTGTAGCATTTACAAGCGGTCTATTCATACACTTATTAAGTTTTAGTGTAATCCGTCAATACGATTACTCGATAAAATGATAAACCGAAAACAGAAAATGAAATGTATATAAATATATATATATATATATATTATTTAACCATATTAAAATGTATATTTTATTATTGTTTAAATAAATACCATTGATGCTTACGAATTTCTAAGGTTTTCTAAATATATCCAATTAGGGGGAATTAACATTGTTGAATGATATTCATGAAATTTGATTTTTTGGTTCTTAACCTTTTGCATCCCAGATTAGTAATTTGTTTTTTTTTGTAAATTTAGCTGGTTGGGTTTGGTTTAGTTTTGAAAGTAAATGGAAAATTTTTTCAAACGAAAATTTCATGCACAATAATTGTCAATTTGGTTTTTTTTTTTTTTATTAGATATTGAGTGAAGAAAAGAGTAAAATCGATTTGATGGCCGAAGGCCTCGAAGAAGAAAGCAAAAAATCTCTACAGATGGAAGCAGACTTGGAAAAAAATTTAGTCCTGTTTGAAAACGAAACTAAAAAACTAGTGGCCGCTTTGAGCGTGCAGGAAGAAAGGTAACCGATTTGCTGATGAATTAAAATGTCGTCGTTTTAGACGGCGTATACAGTTTTTGCACCGCAGTAGTAGTAGTGGTGGTGGTGGTGCTACTGCTGCTAGATACACTAGCAATGGAATACTGGAAATTCACAATCATTTTTTTTTAATTTTTATCTTTGTGTTTTTAGGTCGAGAACTCTGGAATTAGAATTGACTAAATGTCGCAGTGAAATAGCGTCTTTAGAAAAAGAATTGAGCGAAGCGCTTCAAGATAATTTACCAGAACCGTCTAATCGATCATCGTCGGGTAAATGAAATTTAATAGAAAAAAATCTGTAAAACAACGTAAACGTCTAATATCATATAAATTATTCGCTAAAACAATGGCAATAACATTTTAACTTTTTCACCTCAGAACACATCTTTGATATCTTAACTGTAGTACAAGGGTGATTGATTTTGAATGCTAGTCACACTTTTCTTTCAAAATAATAATTTTTTTTTCACTTTTGCATCTGTTATGAAATATTTTTATTATATCCGTCCTTTATATTTCCTATATAAGGGTCAATATTTTTTTTTTTTTTTAATGGCAGCATACATATTTTTAACCGACTTATTTATTAGATAATTATATAATCGAAAAAATGATTACTGTCGATTACAACTTTTGGACAAGTATTTCACAACAAGTAAGAGTAGAAACACCAGAGTATGCCATACTATACTGGTGACATATGACACTGTCACTTTTTTATCATATATTAAGACACCCCCCTAGTAGATTTAAATAATGTTTTAATGTAGAAGATATATACTAGTCAGATTGATGTATTATTATTAGAAAATAGTACAAACCTCAAAACAATTGTGCAGTTTAATCTAATGTTGGCTACACTAGAACATTTTGTTGTACACTAAGGAGATACAAGAAAACTAATTAATAATTATTTTTTGTTATTAAATTAAAACGGATAAACAACTTTTATTTTAGAATTTTATAGAAATACAGCAAAATTTCACTACAGCTCAATGTATACTTGAACATTAAAAAAAATTCATCTGATTAGTAATTAAAAATATATTCTCTTATCAAATAAACAGATGAACATTTTTGGTGAGTGTGGAACCTACAATGAAAAACAAAAAAAAATAATTTTAAAAGAAATTGATGAGTAGGAGGCTAGTATAACACCACTAGCCTACTTAACAATTTCTAAATATATATATATTATAACAACATATATGTATTAAATGTAACATATACATTGTGTGTAAAATGACTGGTTGATAATTTTAATTGTTCAAAACTCGTGAAATAGTGGTTCAAAAGTTGTTATCCAACAGCAGTCATTATATTGATATTGAATAATTTTCTACAATACAATACAAGTATGTTTTGTAAACATTTAAAAAAAAAATCAAGTTGACACCACCCCTATAACACATATAGAATGAAAAAGAAAAATATTTAAAACGGGTAATTATGGAGACACAAATATGTATGTGATTAAGAAAAGCTAAAAAAAGTTATTTTCTAAAACGATTGAAGCGTTTTTATAGAGCTTTATAAAAACGCTCCCTTGACGACGACCCCCATCCGATATTACAATATAATATTTGTGTTGGAAAAAATTTAACGTCGTCTTACTTTTTAGTACGTATTCTATAAGCCGTTCGCTGTTCTAAAAATGTTTTTTGTAGTTTCCAGCAGTCGAATCGTCGTTTCGGCTCCGAGCGGCGATCCCATAATGAGCAGTGTTGCCAAAGTCGTTCAGCCCACCGCAACTGCATCGAGCGTTCGTGTTTGTGGACCAAGTAATAGAATTATTTAATTTTTATTTAAAGATTTGCTGCCCCCCCTGTGGCGTGGAACGGCGTACTCGGAATTTTTTTTTATTGGGAGTAGCGGTGAGCAAAATAAATTTTCTAGTAATACAAAAAAATTTACTGAGAGAAAATATTTTGGTGTTTAGGCGTATACCTAAAAAGTAAGTTTAGCTAGACTAATGGGGGGGGGGTGGCATAGTTCTTTTACTACATCTGGATACGCCGCCGCCGCCCATAATAATGTGTTCGATTAACTCATCTAAATTCGAAAATTATTAATTTAAAACTAAACCGACTGGAAACCCAACCGATATATACCAAAAAATGGCGTATACGTATTTTGGAAATGACGTTATTTTCATCAGTACTAGACGCGCGTAGTGTGCACATTTAGCTCTGCTGACGACGTTGTTTGTCAAATGCGTATAAGCCATTTTTTTTTTCTCGAGTTAAATATATCATCTCGGTATTGAATAATAATATTTTTAAACGACCATATACGAGACTCGGTTGATCGGCGGTCGCTCCCATTGTGTAAATCCACACTCGTGTTTATTATCTTGTTGTTTTTCTTTATTTTACAGTGACTGGAATCGCTCGATCGGTTACACCCGGACAGAGTTTAAGATGCACTACCGCCGGCGGCGGACCGATTAACGAATGTCGGGTAGGTTGAAAAAAAAACGTTCCACAGTTTATCGCGGTATTTAGTAGAAATGTATATCTAATAAATAGTACGTTTCTGATTGCTAAATACGACGCTGCTGTATCGTTTATCGGTGGTAATTGTTGACTAATCGACGTTAAATCGTTTTTAGGTCGACATCAGTCCAAACGCAAACGACGCGTCGTCTCCGGGAGGAGGAGGAGGAGGAGGTACTATGAAAAAGCAGACTACAATACCTTTTGCTAGAAGTACACAGTCGATGGACGTCGTGGGTACGCCGCCGACGAGTACTGCCATAAAAAAATTACCCTTTGCACTTCAAAGGAACGTATCCGTGCCAAACGTTCTCGTTTCCGATACCGCCGGTAAAAAGCCGCTACAGGCCGCCCTGGGTCGCGGCACGCCGCCACCCGTTCCTCCGAATAAGCCCGCAGTACCTCCCAAAAGAGATTTGGGGTCGATTAAGAAATGGCAGCAGTCGTCTGCAGCAGAGAACAACGCCGTCGTCGCGTCCGCGAACGACAGGGATCCTAAAGAATCGGCGGCGGCCGCCGTCATTCTCAAAGCCGATAATAATATCGCCGCACCCAAAGAAATAACAGCAGCAGCAGCCCCCGTTGATGACCGTCAAGATCGAGAGTAACGATTAACCGGAAGTGAAAAGCGCGTGTTGACTTGAAGTTGACGCGCACTAGTCGAGTGTTCAAAAAATAATAATAACTGTTGGGATTCATTAATTAAACACCATCATTGCCGTCGCTTAAAAAGTGAATAACGTTTGACCGAACGTTGAAATTTTTAATTTTGCGGTTATTATAACACGGTAATGGTTTTTTTTTTTTTTTAGAAGATTATCAACTACGCGCGATAAAAAATAACACGTGTGGTTTGCGAGGGCTAATATAAAATTTTTACGAATCACACGTTTTAATCGGGGAAAAAAACATCAGTTATTTGATTTATTAAAAAAAATTTACCGATATCCGCCGGCAGCTAAATTTTGAAAGTTCCTAGCCGTTCCCTCTCCTCCCACGCGTATTTATCGCAGTATTGTATTTTTTTGTTTTGACAATCGAAAAATTCATCTATAAAAAAAAAACATGACGCATCACACTTTGTTGTTATTTAATATTTGTAGTTTTAATTTGTAGCATTATTTTTTATTATTTTACTTAATATCATGTGTACTTTTCTTGTTTGTGTTTTTTAATTGTCAGTAGCGATTATTGAATTAACAATTTTTTTTTTTTTTTTTGAAATGTAATTGAAAAACATTTGATTTTTTTCTGTTGATTTTTATCGAGCGCCGCTATACGAAGAGCGGCTATACAGTAAAAGTGCACACTTCTCGTGTACACGTATATATGTGTTTAATATATGATCGGTTGAAGCGTTTTTAAAAAAAAAAATCATGTACAAACAACGACGATTCATCTGGAAATCAATTGTGTCCCTCCATCAATGAATACTATCGATTATAAAAACGATGAAATTAATTTTTAAAAATAATTTCATTTTATTTTTACTCTTTGTTTAACTTTTTAAATATTGTCCTCCCCTACTTGTATATTTGTTATTATTATGTATTGTACTCGAGTTGAGAAATAAAACTACATATTACACTAGAAAAAAAAAACAATGTTATTATATAATTAATAAACTTATATTTGTAAAGATAACAAATTTATAATAAAATATCGACGACAGGTATATAAACTTTAAAATATTTATTTAAAATAACGACTTAAAAAAAAAAAAATTTTAAACTAAAAATCGGACAGCAAAAATTTGTGATACAAACAACAACAATAAACACCAATGAACTCGTTCTCGGTATTTCTTAGTATAAATAAAAAAATGTCTATAGGAGAATAAAGAAAAGTGTTTAATTTTCTTCGGCGAACACGTTTATTGTTTTCGATCTGAAGTCGTCAACACTATAGCTGTTCTCGAAGGCAAATACAACTGGAAAAAAAAAAAAAAATTATGAAATTATTGTTACTCGTGTATGGGGGGGGGGGCCCTTAAATAAATCGAAACCCGACGTAACGAGCACGGAATTCGCGAAAACAAAAATTATCGTGATATTTTTTTTGAACTCTGGGATTCGATAATTGGCAAAAATTAGTACCGGTTCAACAATTACACCGCCGTTAGTTTATCAATTATATATTTGGTTTATTGACCCCGCCGCTGTGGCGGTCACATAAAAACTAATAAAAATCGCCACTGTTGGCTAGTGTTTAGTTTTTAAATAATTAACATTATATCGTCGATAAGTAAATTAATTTAGATATATATGCTAGCAAAAGTATTTAAAAAAAAAAAAAATACGTGTCAAATCGGTTTGTTTATCGTGAGAATTACCGACTAAAATAATAAATCGATATAATGCAAGAGAAAACTCGGTAACGTACACAGATCACCACGCGTACGTAGCTTGTACATAACAATATATATATAACTGACATGTGAATTTTAATACTTGATAATAAAAATAGTTTCGACCGATGGCCGCTGTTATTTTGTTACGACGTGGTAATACAACGGTCGTACGGTTGTTATTTGAAAACTGTACGAGGGTAAAGAAATGTTGTGATATAAAAAAAAATAGTCGATATTCAATAGAGAATTCTTCAATATTGAAAAAAATTCAGTTTTCCAATTTCCACTTTTACAAGAACGAGTATATACTCACGAATATATGATTTTGACGTCCGTTCCATTGACCGTTTCCAGTTGGATATTCAATGGAATTATCGATACGACAGTGACCGCCGAATTCCGAGTCGTCGCTGTTGAGAACGATTTTCAACGATCCGTTCAAGTCGAGTCCCAATTTGTAATCTGTAAAACTCTTGGTAGGATGGAAATTGAATACGAATAAAAGATTACTCCTTTCGAACGCGATCACCTTATCGTCTTGGTGTTTCAAACTGACATAGCCCTTATAAAAAAAAAAAAAAAAATCAAAACTAAATAAATATAGGAAAAAAATAAAATATATACAATGTATATATATTATATATTATACATTATACATACAACAGCAGAGCGTTTGGCGAATAAGGGGAAACAAATATCGTCGTAATACACAGCAAAAATCAAACGGGGAAAGGGGGTAGAGTAGTGTGTACGCGAAGATGATGTTGAGTCTGCTGCCTCAGTGGTGGTAGTATTCGCGTAGTACACGTCGTCGTCGTCATCGTACAGCAGTTACCGCGCTCGGCCGGCGCTGCGGATTAGCCGTGGTGGGTGGGGAAAGGCCGTTGTGTTATAGGAAGGCAATAAGGTACGAGGTGCAGACCGAGTGCAAGACGCACAAATACTGGGCGCGTCGTACCCCCGCCGCCGGTAAGGAGTATAACAAAGTACACGGTGTGCAGACAAAGTTGCACAATATACAAATCCTTTGAGTAAAGGAGAGAATAAAGAACGGGGGGGTAGCCGAATATAAAGTGCAGACGAGGAAAGGTAACGCGGTACGAAGACACGAGTACTCTAAAATGTCGAGCAACAGAATAAGTAAATAGGTGTGACAAAAGGAAAACCAAAGACTTGACTCTATGCAGTAAGCCGGACAGCGACAACCGAGTACCGAGACCGACGAACGACACAAAGCACTGGAATCGACTGACCCCGATGACCAGGACTTTTGGATTTAAATAGTAATTTGGACGAATGCCCCCCACCTTTGCAATAAATATTAATCGTTAACTCATCGGCGGATGCACCGTTTATATGTTTTTTAAATAGTGGTGACGTATATATATATATGTATATATTATGTATGTATGTATATAATATACATTATGTATATATGTATATAAGTATTGTTTCTTTGAAAAAATCGCTACGTTGAAAATAAAAAAAATATATGTATATATATATATACCGCCGATGATGGCAATGGTCGTAGTTAAAACGAATTATACTGACCGGATTCGAACTCAACCAACCGTATTTGCTCTCCAATTTGTTCATGCTTCTATCGAAATTGTTCAAGAACTTGTACTTTAATGACGGATCGTCGACTAAATTCCACTGTCTTCGAGCGTAATGATAGGAACTGTGATTTCCATCTCGAGGAAAATCTAGCCATTCGGGATGACCGAATTCGTTGCCTATTATCGGACACAAATGTATGTAAAAAAAAACGTATTGACCAATTTCATTTCATACGAACAAAATGTAATACACGTATTTTATTATTTTTCCATATACAATTATAAAAATACTCGCCGATAAAATTCAAATAAGCTTCTCCGCCTAAACCGTGAGTGATCAATCTAATCATTTTGTGCAATGCTATTCCTCTGTCTATGACCAAAGACGGATCGCTCATTGTAGACATATGAGAATACATTTCCTTGTCCATCAACCAAAAAGCCACGGTCTTGTCGCCGACCAATGCCTAATAGAAATAAAAAACGAAATAATTATTTTACGATTACTAAAAAATGTATTCGCGTTAAGCGATGACATTTTATAGTATAGTATAATAATCCTTATTATATACATATTATAATATTATAATAATCCTTATTATATACATATTCTAATACTATAATAATCCATATTATAATAGTATATAATCCTGGGGTAAGTATTTAATCAATGATGTATAGAGATTATGTAAAATTGACGTTTCAGAGTATTTTTGATGTCACGTCCTGTATATGTTCAAAAGGAAAAAACACGGGTCTGAATTGTTTAAAAAAAATTATGACATTTACACATTTACTACTAGTAATCAATAGTGTGTGATATCCGATGAAAAAATAAACTATGCTACTGCGGAAAATTGTTTCTAGACAAATAAGGAGTGGGGGGACTCCTTATTTGTCTAGAAACAATTTTCTGAAACAATCCGGGCCCCCCACCACCCGGTCTGATGTTGATTATTATTTTTAAAAGATATTACACAACACATTGCTCCCGGAAACCAAAATTGATTTTCAAACGATTACTTTAAATACCTATGGGCGACAATTCGGCTATTCGTAGAACACGAGTTTCTCTGCTATTGAAAAAAAATAAAAACCTGGCCAAAACACATGAACGATTCTCAAAATACAAGGTCCAGTAACATTAATGTTCCGTACATTGGAGTCGGTCGACTATTTACCGTTTTCATGTCGACACAGCAATGAGATACATAATGAATATATTTGCTGTGGTGAAATCACAGATACGTTTTATCGAAATAAAAATATTATATTAATAGATTATTAAAAGTACTGGGTTATAAATTAATAAAATCGATTTATACTAGAAACGCGATACTGTTGTGTAAAAGTGATCGCGGAAATCCGAGTATTACTGTGCAAATAATTGTTATAATTTTCATTGCAAACGATTAACCCGGCCTCCGCAAAAAATCGACCAAATGTCCACCTTTCTATTCCTTTCCATTCCAATGGGGGTTGGGGCGTTGACTAAAAAATGAACATATATATTTTTTATAACCTGATCGTGCGACTCGGCATATGCAACAGTCTTTTCCATCCATCTTCTGTTGGTCAGAGTGTGAACTATGTTTGCCATGTCCCAGTCGTCGTCTTTGACTTCTTTCAACAGTTTGATCCACGTATCGGGTATAGCCATCGCTAGACGATAATCGAATCCTAGTCCACCTTCACCGACGGGACGACAAGTGGACGGCATGCCCGATACATCCTACACGCGATACGTAATAAAAAATTTCAGTTTTGTACACCGAAATCAAATGATGGGTGTTTTTATAACTTACGACTAAGATCGTAAACAACTTAACAACTACAACTAAACAATACAACTTAACAACTCGAATAATATGCGAGTCATTGATTTTTATTTTAAATCGTTTAAACGTAATAAGTGAAATTCCGACGCGTGTGAAAATATTTTACACGAGGAATCTAGAGTCGAACGCACCTCAGCAATAGTAACGCATTCCGGATAAAATTTATGTAGAGTGTAATTGGCCAACATGAGATAGACCAGTGCATCGGTATCGACGTTGAGTCCAAAGTATTCATCGTAATGACCGCTGAATCCTTGAGCTCCTCTAGAATGATATAGCATCGAAGTGACACCGTCAAATCTGCAAAGTGAAGAATACACATCTGGTAATTGTTTTCTTAAAACAATAATAATAATAATAATAATGGCAAATTCCACCTAAAGCCATCGAAATTATACTCTTCCGTGTACCAACGTAGATTGGACAGCAAAAATCTCAACACTTCATACCTAAAAGTTAAAAATTAATAGATGTAGTAATTTACTGCCGTGTAATATTTAATCGTGCGGTGGTCATACGGTAGTGCGGTGCCGCATAATATTACACACCAACACTACTCGTATACACGTTGAATTTACAAAAAAAAATACTCAATAAATCAAGTGCGAAATTCGACGATAGTTACTCCGAATAGTTGAATAAGCGACTGCCCCACGTGGGATGATCGCCCTTGGGTCCGTCGTGGAAAAAGCACGCGTTAGTGCCGTCAAAGTTGTTCAAGCCGTCGAGAACGTTTTTCGAAGCGTGAGAGTGCACCACGTCTAACATGACATACAAGCCTTTACTGTGAGCGATGTCGACCAATTCTTTGAGGTCTTCAGGAGTGCCAAAACGACTGGTGAGAAAATTTTAAGCGCAACACTTATCAAACGTTTTCAAACAAATGGAATTGTACGATTTTAATATAAATAACACAAAACTAGATGAGATCATACCTTGACGCAGCATAAAAACTCGTGACCTGATATCCAAACGAGGCGTAATACGCGTGTTCCATGACGGCCATTAATTGAATTGTATTATATCCTACGAAAAAAATACCACATCAAAAAAACCCAATGAAAATTGATAAATAAAAAAAAATCAACATTTTAAATTTACATACACACACATTCGACTACTTCACGTTCTATGAGTATTTATCGTTGAAAATACACATATGCGACATTGTGATTGTGGATCAAAAATTAATGTACGCTAAGGCGTTAAAGTCAAATTTTAGTTGTAAATGTTCTCATACCGTACCACAAACAGTTTCGTGTTTGGTTGTATTGCTCGAAATCTACACGGAGAAGGAAAGATCACATTTTTTGTGAGCCACCCCCATTTCATAATACCGCTTGTTTATAGTAGCAGGCACAATAAATGTAACGAATAAGGTTTACTTTTTTGTATGCGATTCAAATGAAACTTTAACAAGGTGAAAACAAAAATATGATAAAAACTTGAACAAAAATGATTATTTTAAAATATACGGGCAAAATATTTTAAGATTTTTTTTTTTTTTTAAACATTAAAACAAAATAACAATTGTACCCAAGTCAACGATTCGATCCAGCATTTTGTCTTTGAACTCTTGGTAAGTTCCGACTTTGTACTCTGACGTAGCGATTCCAACATGGCATTCATAAATTCGTAAACTCGACGGTCTAGATACTTTGGCGTGTTTAAATTTATACACCTGGAAAAACAAAAAGTATTCAATAGGTGTTTAAATTTATCGAGTTCGAGTAGTTTTAGACGTTTAAAAATTGTACTAATTAAGCTGCTATGACAAACAATAAATACCATACGTTAATCAGTGATGGATAAATTGGTTTTTTTTTCGTAATCAAATTAAATTACTAATCACTCGCGAGAACTACTTGAAAATTACAAGTATTGTAACAAGTAATGAAATGAATTTTATATTATTTATTTATTAATTTATTATCGTAAAAAAAGTAACTTAATTACAATAAAAGTTACTTTTTTCCATTTACGTGTTAAATATGAAATTTATTATTTGAAATGAATTGCGTGTACAAGTGAAATAATCGAGGTTTAACTCGATCGTCTATTTAGAAAATCACAATGTAGGAGGGGAAAAAGACTTAACGAAAAAAAATGTTTACACTGACGACGAGCTACCGTGAAAACCTTTTGTGCACACTTTTTACTCGTTTTGAGTTGATGATAAGCAACACACTAGAAATTATACGACAGAAACACCTTTATTCTGTTATTTAACAAGAAAATAACAACCATCGAAATAAGAACTACACTCTTTTTTTTTTTTATTATTACATTTTCTTCAATGTAAATCAATGTCTTTTAAATATTGTACTTATTTTTCCTGTAAAACGTGTGGTGTTGAGTGTTTGTGGCAAGCCCTCGATATGAATTTGGTCGGGTTTGGATTTGACGAGTAAATCACGATTAACCAATTAAACAGCGCAGTTGAGTGTATATTATGGAAATTTTTTTTCATCAAATCGTTACAGCTCCCCCCCACCCAATTAATAAAAACTCACGTTATCAACCGGATTCCAAATTCTTTGTTTAAAAGTTACTCCTTCTTCCTTGGGTGGCTGAACCACATACGATGCCCAAGGAGATATACGATCGAGTTTTTCTCCATGGTGATTTTCAACAACAATCTTTAAAAAATGACAGGTCATCAATAAACGCACTCATTGCACGAGCATTTTAAATTTGAGAAATACCTTGACTTCCGACAAATGTTTAACGACCGGCGATCCATCGTTGTTGGGCGGTATCACTAATTCCCATTTTCCATATTCTAATTTTTTGTAGGGTGTGCTTTCTCTATTCCAATCGTCTGCAAATATTATTATTTTATTACTTGTGTATCTCTCGATTATAAATGTAATATTCCAAAAATATGTTTAAAAATATTATTATTATGTATGAATTTAGAAAATTACACCATCAATTTTATGCAAACACAATGAGTTAACTACAATTTTTTTTTCTCATATTCAAAATACATTTAATTCAAAAGTACATTAAAAAAGCCAGCACAGTGAGGACGTGGCATAGTCGGGTCCAGTATAGATGATATCTGACAGTGATTAATATCACTATCATAAAAAACGCTTCGATGCAAATCTATAGTGTTTAATTTAAAAAAAAAATTTCTCAAAGAAGTAGATCAAGTGAGAGCTGAGAAAATAAATGATAGCTACAAAAAAAAACCACATAGTAAAATAATATTAATATGAATTTCTTCTCCCGAGAGGAGACTACGGTAATGGAATTTTTTTGATATTTATTGAAGTTATTCAATCTAAATGAGATAAAAATCAAATGAGTTAAACATTTTTTTCTAACTCAAAAAGAATTAAGAAAAAATTCAGCCCCACAGACGTGAAAGATCCAAGTGTTACCTTCTCAAAAACCGTACGTCATATTCGTCAATTAATAAAAATGGAAATTTAGCTAGTTCAAATTTTAAAATTATTTTTCTCGACTTCAAAGAAACAAAAAAATTTAAATATGTTTAACTTTTTGTACCATCTCAATTAGATTGATACAATATTTATGAAAATTAGTGTAATACCCTTATAATAAAATGAAATACAAAACCAAGAATTTTAACACAAAAATAGCATATTTTTGAATACAGTAACTATTTTCACAATGAAGACAAAATAAGACCGACATTTTTTTTTTAATATTAAAGTATATTACATAAGCTTTAATTTAAGATATATATAAAAGTGTCAGTATTTCCGGAACACTTTAAAAAATTAAGTTGAAAAAGTTCTACTTTCTATATGCATTTTAAAGATTTGAACCCCTCCCCTGTATTAAGGGAAATGGTCCGATTTAAAAAAACAGTATGTCGAATGAAAGATGTATATAAATAATATTTCTCATAAAAAAATTGTATTGATCCAAACATTTTTTAAAAAGTTATAGCATTTTAAAGTAAAAAATATAAAATCGAGAATTTTCACACAATAATAGCATTTGGTAGCTATTTTCACAGTGAAGACAAAATAAAGTCCGACATTTTTTTTTTCCATAATAAAGTATATTACATTAGCTTTAATTTAAGATATATATAAAAGTGTTAGTATTTCCAGAATGCTTTCAAAAGTTAAGTTGAAAAAGTCAATTTTTTGTGAAAAAGTTGTCATTTTGAATTCCTCCCTGTGGGCAGGTAAAGGATCAAATTTATAAAAAAAAATATACCGAATGATAGGTAAAGACATCATGTATCTGTAAAAAAAAAATTATAGTGATTAGGTTATTTTTAAAAACATTATGGCAGTTTTAAGTAAAAAAAATTGAAAAAATTTTGAAAATTAGCGATTATTAAATTTGTAATTTTTTGGGGGGTTTCCCCATTTACGGGGAACGAGGGAATTTTTTTCAATTTTTGAGGGTTACGTCGTCTTGGACTAGATACGATTTGTGATCTTTTGACGTATCGTTGAAAGAAATAGGTTTGGTGAGAGCTGAGAAAAAGTGGTAACAGACAAAAAAAAAAAAAAAAAAAAACATCTAGAAAAATTTAAAACTTTTTACCTTC